TTTTTTAACCGCTTCGTTTTTTTTTTTTTTTTTTTTTTTTTGCTGGCTCCTTTAGGTTTGACTTGGAGATGTTTGACCGTCTCTCGAGCAACAGTAACAGACGTTGTGAGTGGCCTCAAGACCCGTTTGCAAATAAAATGCTACTTTTAAAAGCCCAAGTTCAAGACAACGAATTAATGATCCGTGGCCAACTGCCCGATTCTTAAATGATTGTTCGACAATTACTTTGATCGTGACGAAACTAAATTGGAGCAAAGTCAAGAAATTTAAAAGGAATGCTCGCGTTCCTTCGCAATTGAAAAGTACTGCAATGCGCACAAATATCAAAGTCAATTACGTGAAGCCTGAATTAAAAAAAAAAACCACTTGAAAATTTATCATTTTGCACCTGCCACCCCTTTCACCCTCAAATTTTCACGTGACCATGGCAATCTTCTCGAAAGTGGAAGGGCTCCAAAATTTTCATAATATCACGTTAATTTGGTACGACATTCTACGCAAGAGTACCTGCCATCGGTTGACTACTCAGTAAAGGCAAAAAAAGTTGTAAATTTGATTCATAATCATCATACAACTTTATGATTTACGAGTGCACGACGTTTTCCTCTCGATTTGGATAATTTCAGGGGCATTCAAGTCGAATAATTGACCAATAACTGAACGTAAAATGTCTTTCGTCCGAAATCGTTGTTCCATTTTCCAGCGAGCACGATAAATTTTATACCGAAATTTTTAGGTGTCAAAAGTTAGGGAACCCAATCATATAAAGTACAGTACATTACAGTAGTGTAGATATACGACGGAATTCAATAGACGAAGACAACAACGTGCGATGATCAAGCTTACCACTCAGCAACTTGATCATTGCAATAAATCTGCACCAAACTTTGACTAATTCATCACGCATTCATATCGAAGTTTTGACGCATGACAAAATTTCTGAATAGCATTAACCAGCCTCAAGTTCCCGTTTGAGCATCAACTGGACGAATTGGAAGTATTTTATAATTGAAAAAAAAATGTATCCAACGCGGGACCAACAAGAAATTCACAGTTTTAATTTGGATACGAACCCTGTTTTTCGGAATACAAATCACTGTACGAGAAAAATGCATGCTTCAAGAGCAAATAATCTGGTTTTAAGGGCACAGCCCAATCCACAACACACTCATAAATGCGAGGAACTTCACTCGAACTTCGAAGACAAAATGAAATATGCAGGTTTCATAACAGAATGATCCCCGGAAGTACCAACAAGGAACACGACGAAAGATGATCATTTGTGAAACACCAAACTTGGAAATCCGATGCGCATCATCTCGGAGACATCCAAGTTCGACGGATTTAATACTGTACTTTAAAAATACGGATTGATCATAATCCATCGAGTAAAATAACCTGTTCTTAATGGCAGAACTCGTTGCGTTACAAGCTTCCATGATTTTCTAGGCGGTTGAATTATAAAAGGGGGAAAACTGCAAGTCAATCAACATTGTTTTGCATGACAGGGACTGACTGTAGCCCAAAATCTACGTCATATCGAACGCATTTAAATCGCCCAACGTGTCTCCGAACGTAAGTCCTCAACCTGAATACAGGCACTGTTGTGAATGTAACACTGACCCAGAAAACGAATCTTCCGCGTCAGTCCATTTCCCCCTTTTTTTCCAAATTGACCTCCATCTAGGTTTCAAATTAATTTTCCCACTTATCCCTCAAAATTTTCACTGAATTATTCCGCCACTGATTCGCCAATTTCGTCGCCTTTAAATTATCCGCAAAAACTGAACGTTCAAAAAGAGAGTTCCAATCGCAATTCGTTAAAGTTTCCGTGAAAAATTCAAATCGTAGTTTTTGCGGTTTAATTAAATGCGACGTCAATGGCGGATCAGTGGCAAAATAATTCAGAAAACGTTTTAATAGAATAGAACCCAGAAAACGAATCTTCCGCGTCAGTCCATTTTCCCATTTTTTCCAAAGGTTTCAAGTTAATATTCCCACTTATCCCTCAAAATTTTCACTGAATTATTCCGCCACTGATTCGCCAATTTCGTCGCCTTTAAATTATCCGCAAAAACTGAACGTTCAAAAAGAGAGTTCCAATCGCAATTCGATAAAGTTTCCGTGAAAAATTAAAATCGTAGTTTTTGCGATTTAATTAAATGCGGCGTCAATGGCGGATCAGTGGCAAAATAATTCCGTGAAAATATTTTCACAAAACAAGAACACACACATAAGAAGAAGAAAAAATAAATAAACAAGCAAAACAACACCTGTTTTCAATGACGGGCACTCGATTCGTATCAAACGGCACGGGCTTGGCACTGACGCGAGACCTGGCAGAGGCCCTGGCACTCGGACGCCGCTGGTGCACCGGGGCCGGCGACTCGGGCGTCTTTTCGTCGTCATCCGTCGCGTCGGTGTAATCCACCGGCGGGTAATCAATCACGATCTCCGCAGACTTGGCGTCCTTGGGAGACGAATCTGAGGGTCGGATCTGCCGGCGGGACGAGTGCCGCACCGCCACCGGCGTCGCTTTCGCCTCCGCCCGACCTCCGTCCCACCCGAGTTTCGAGCGGAGAAACTCCAACAAGCACATACTACAGGTGGACTCGCTCTCCCTACAACAAAATTCAAGTGGACCAGAAAAGAAAATTCGTTGTTAAGAAATTTTCGTTGGCGAGAACCCCCGTAACATGGGGAGAGAACCTTAACGGACCACAAACTGATTTTGGGAGGTGGTTAAGTAAAGTTAGGTTAGGTTAAGTTAGTTACAAATATCTTTCAATTAACATAACCTGACCTAACCTAACTTTACCTAACCGCCTCCTAAAATCAGTTTCAGCAGAAACCCAAAGAAAGCAGAAACTGATTTTGCGAGGCGGTTTATATAAAATAAGGCACGGAAAGTAGGCACTGAGATAACAGGAAAGTGCCGACAAGTGTAAGACGCGCACACCTTAGTTTTCAATTCAAAAGATTCATATTTGGAAAACAGTGCTGGATAAAAATATAAAATAAGCCCATTTAAAATCGAATTCGATGGCGATTTTTTAAAATACAGTACCAACATTAATATCATAAAAGTAGAGAAAACATTTTTGGAAGAGAAGTTTCAAATCTGTCACTTGAAATTTATTATTTGACTATGACGCGCACCTCATTTATGCTCCTTTATTTATTGAAAAAAGGGCGCGTGATACTAGGGTAAATAATACCCCTTTTCCTTCTTCATTCCTCAATGGTACCCGAAAACGAATGAAATTTTCATACTTTCCAGAGTAGTGTTTCGAACATTCAAAAAACAATGAAGATTGCTGCACGTACACGTGCGATGAAAAGCAAAAAAAAAAGATTCCCATTCCCGGGAAACGAGAACATAGAAGCTCATTCATTTCGCGGCCACATTACTTTTTTTTTCGTTCGAGTACTGAAGTACTTAGATGTGGTTTCAAGCAGTAGAACGTGCTGTATCGTATGCATTATTTTGCTCTTAGAATACCGTTCAATTCACATTTTCCAATCATTGGCGAATATTACCGATAACTGCGCACTAAACGTTGTATTCAACGGATTAAAAGGGGCACAAAACCCAATAGTATCGTCTTATCAAGATCCAAGGCCCAAGGGCTAGCCCGGATAATCAATTGAACAGAGGGAAATAAAACGGATACAATTGAAATAAACACATAAACAAACTGCTTTCTCTCATTCCTATGCATTAAAATTTGGGAAAGATTACAAATTTTAGGGCAACAAAAGCCGTGCTATTTGTGATTACTTTTCGTCATGTGCCCCTCCATTTCCGGGGTTTCATGAAGACCAAAAATTAAAACGTCAAAATGCAATCCAAGTACCAAGAGGTTATAACACAGAAACAGTTCACCACAGAATGTTTGTGGCACTGAGCAAAATTTCATTTCATTACCTTTTTTAAAAGAAATGGCGGATACATTTATTTAAAAAAAGAAATTTCCCAAGGAACTCTTGGAAATACTGATTCTCCTTCAGATTTTCGACCATTCAATCGAAAAATAGCCTGAAATACGGAACAGTTCTTTTAATTGCAAAACACATGACACTTTTCCCGGTTTTCGTGAGTATTGCACAACATCCGCGAAGATTCACTCGAAATTCCCTTGTGTGATGGAAATTTCGAGGAGAGAAATGGAGATTAATTTATAGCTTTGGGCAGAATCTTTGTGATGGCACGATCCGACCGCAAATCGCGTCACGATATCACATTCTTTTACATACGAAACCCCAGCAGGAATCGAAAGCTCTCGATCAACCAGGAAACGGACGACAGCCGATTTCACTCGACTTTCTTCGCCAACTGACTGCGGTCACGCAATTCCGGCTTCTTCGTCATCATGCAAGGCCATACACGTCAAACTTCCCGACAAGGAGAAACTCAGCAACGGGTTTAATCAAAATGTAAACATTTATAATCAAATAGTTATTTCTTACATTGCAGAAAACTCACAATGAACACCGGAAAAATCTGGTGGAAAAACTCTATCGGTCTAGCGGTGCGGTTATTGATTCGAAATTTTCTCTTGAACCTTGTGTCGACATTTTCCTTAACGATTAAACATCCGGCAGCTGTCGTCAACAGAACACTCCATGAACACCGATTTTCGCCCTTCCTGCTCCAAGCTTGAAATTTCGATTTCTGGATTTCCATGAAATGCCATTCGCAAACCATTTTTCATTTAGAATCTCTAAGTGTTAACGATTTTCTTTAGATACTCAACTCATCTACAGAATTGACATAGATTGAAGGGGTGATACGTTAAGATCTTGTGACCGATTTCACATTGGCATTACTTTTAGTAGCGTAACCCAGAAACGGTTTAAGACGAGAAATGATCTAGAGTTATAGATCAGTGTTCCCGAACCTTTTTGGGCCCGCGGACCTACACATTTTTATAGAATTTTTTTCGGACCGGCAAATTTCCCAGAAATTTTCCAAGGATTGGCAGAAAATAAATTATGCAATATAAATAAGTAAGATGGTTTAGTTCGTCAGTATGTAAGTTTTCATGAAGTTTCATAATATTTTTGTTACCTCAAAATAGTTTGGCGTGAAAGACTACAAAGGCAGGCATTTAAAAAGTTTTTAATTTTTTTTTCCCAAAAATTAAGAATGACTGAAGCAGCTATTAAATGGAATGTGTTCAAGAAATTATAAAAATGGGCTTGAAGAAAGGTTTTTCGGAATGAAAAAATCTAAATAATTTATTAAAGCAGGTGAAAATTTGTCCAAAGTTTTATAAGGCAAAACGCCAACTCTTTCCATCTGATAATTTCGACTGCCATTGTCTTACCAAAATTTCAGATAATGATACCAGACTTCATTGCTGGGTTTGTTGATTTCTTATGCTGCATACAATTTTTTGCGGACCGGCAAAAAACTTCTGCGGACCGGCGCCGATCCGCGGACCACGGGTTGGGGAACACTGATCTAGAGTTCTAGACAATACTTTAGAATGATATGATTATCAAAAATTCTAAGCAGGTGAACTCCACAACAAGATTTCCGGGACCAGAAAAAAATATCGTTCCAGAGAATCCCTATAGCACGTGGAGAGAAACCATAGGATCAAAACAAAATTCGTTACACAGAGAAAATCGTTGTAGGCAAGATCGACGGAGAGAAGATCTACCTGCTTTTGTTTTTTAAATACATTTTGACACGGAGATCGTAAACGATTACCCCATCGTAATTGGTATGATCATACTTATTGTTTTCGTCCCAAAAATCAAGATTTGCAACGACTCAAAAATAATTCAGGTAATTACGACTTTCATCGTCATTCATCATTTTCAGCACGAAATTGTTAAAATCTATAGTCTTCAAACTGGCTGAAATGGATCCACAGAACTTAAGTAAGTACTGCTTCTTTCGTAACAACTTCTGAAAAAAAAAATCGTCACAAGTGAAGGAGGTAACTGGAAATCTGTCCAAAAGGTTAGCAATTCTCGCAGGAAGTGAAAAATCGAAGAATTTCGCGTCTGAAAGTGGTTATTATTTCGTGAAGTGAAAGAATTTTCTCCGCGCTAATTATTAACTTTTCTGCTCTCCGAGATAATTTCTGAAGCAGAATCTCGACAATTCATGTTTTCACTCACGGAAGTATCAATTCAATCATACAATTTCAACGTTTTCGCTCAAAGCAATCATTCGCTACTTATCCGATCAAAGAATCAAACAGGCTGTCCAGGAACCCAGTCCACCCTTTGTCCCTCCAAGTTATCGGACTGAACGAATCAGGCATCTGCTTTATAGATGTCTACTCCCACGGCCATTATCACGCTTTTCACTTTCTATTCTCTCAAGAGTCTTGGAACACTATTTCAGTCAAGATAATAATTTTAGAAAAAAGTAATTAAATCGGAGGACAAAGCCTCGACAGTCTCGCGTTTACGGCGGCTTTTTCTCCAACAATGAATGGCATTAAATACGAATATAAAAACGGATTTGTAAGCACCTTACGAGGTATGAAAGAAAGGTACCGACACTGGGTGGCGCAAAAATCTTGTGCAACCGCTTCACCTCGTCATCGGTCCACCTGCTTGACACATAATCAACTGCTCGAAAGAATAGGCAATCATCTGATGGACATTCGTCTCCTTCGCCAAGTAGGATTAATGAAGTCCAGAAAAAATTCTGTCTTGACAAAATAAAATCAGGGTAAAGCTGAAACGAAAATTGCTTGGGATAACTAGCAAACCACACGGATGCGTTGAATTCGAGCCTAGTTCTCCAAAAAAACGGTTAATCAGATTATTATGCTGGACAGATCCCTCAGCGAGCTTTCAAAGGGAACAATGGTTCATCGATTGATAGTTTTGAAATTTTCCCTGCGGCTGACACCTTCGTAAACTTTCTTGCAGACGACAGGTTAAACTCATAAAATAGCTTCTTTTACCACACTGAAAATGACAACATAGATACCTAAAAAAATTGGCTTATGAGTTACGAATCTACCCACCGGAGTAATGTCTATCGTGTTGACTCCATTTTTTCAGACTTCAATTTGAAATTGAAATTTTCCATCGGGAAAAGTTTTGGCATGGATATTGATGTCCAAACAGCGATACGTAAGATACAAATAGGGTATAACGTATGTACATCATTTGAAAGTACTGAAAATGAAAATACCATTTTCCAAAGGCAAATTCTACTCCGTGGTATTACAGTGTAGTCAAATTGGTACACGGTAAACCACGCGAGAAGGGCTTCAGCCTTTGCAATTTCCCTTCATTCCGTCAGAAATTTCTGAAGTAGGATTTCTCGAGATAGCCATACAAAAATACCGATACCTGTATAAATAGTACAATAAAATCCCTTAGAACAATCAGAAGCTGTGGAATTGAGCATTAACTTGAGCTTAAATTCAGCTTTTCAAGATTCTGAAAACTGCTCAGAAATATTTCCAAAACTTTCTGCGTGACACCGACCAAGCTATCATTCAAAGCTTATTTAATACGATCGATACTTTCAGATTATTATTGATTAGTCTCATTATTGATTATTATTGAAAGTCTGCTGTGTGGCATGAATAATTTCTGGACAAAAATACTATTGAAAGTGATTTATCCCACAACAGACTGCATGAAGCGCTTTACTGACGATGAGAATGTTTCGCTTCTGAATGCAGCCACTGAAAATGGCCGGGAATACCCAAAAGACGTTTCAAAAGACAGCCAGAAAAAAGTTGAGGATTTAAATAATAACGCATGCTAAATTCATCAAGCTCTTCTTGATGCTCACAAAA